ATACCCGAATATAATGCAATCGGTAAAATTACAGATTCGTATCAGTCAACCAACTCGTGACGGTGACCATAGAACTTATGTAATGTCGAATTTAGTCGTTCTTCTGTATACCTCTGTTTGAGCAGTTTTTGTGTAAGGAGCATATCCCTTCTAGTGAAGTCCGTATAGCATTACCATACACGAGCGTATCAATTGCAATATGTAAACGCCATACGAAGGAGTAAAGGGTATGTACTGTTGAGAAATTAGAAGTTGAAATCATCACGTTTGTCATAGATTCTAGTTTGAAGTCGTCAATAGGTGTCAGGCGTCAATATCGATGAACCGATCAAGATATGAAACAGTCTTCTAGGTTTAGTAGTAGCCTTAATCTCAAGTTCACTGGGATATATGAGATGGAAGTACTCACTGAAATGTGGGTTATTGAGTTTTGTGCAGAACATCACATTTTTGTTATTTTTATATGTTGTCCGTTGGTATTCGGAGGTGTCAAAATTCGCCAAAGACACTAGTCAAATGTCTCATGTGCATAATAGCGAACGAAGTATCTAGAAATTTTATTTTCCTTTCAATTGAACGTTGTTTCTGTCATTAAATACCAGAAAATCGACAGAGTTGTATTGTTCCGATACTAGTATTATCAAACTTATTGGCATAAATAAAAACCTTACGGGATCTTTTATGGGTCCCAATAACCCTCCCCTACAACCACACCCCAAAAGATGATCGGATTAGGTGTCGCGACGGATTTAGGAATACTACACAACATATTTATACAACATGACAAAAGCAAAAACTATATCTATTCATATGTTTATATAATTGATCATTCTGTACTTTATACTGACCACAATCAACGTCAAACTTGTGATGCTTATACGGATCTTAGGTTATAGCTTATAGTGTCACCGACCCAGTGTTTGTAAAGCCTGACCAAAGATACCAGGGATATAATTTTGCATGAAAGACCTGCGTTTAGTCTGTCTACCTAGGAATAATTGAGGGTGACGTTCAAACAGTTGAAAGGCTGAAACGGAATTACTTTTTCTAATTAGATTCATCTATTTCATACCTGATATTTATTTCCTCGAAATCTATCCAAACATTACACATGTTACACTACGAACGGTAATGATATAAGGTATTTGGAGGGCGTATTAACCGTCGGGCAAATTTGTCCGACTCGACTGTATGAGACAAACAGTGCTCTCTTCTTTCAGTTTTGTGTTGTGTGTGATTTCCTTCATTGACTCATAACCGACATCTTTTATCGGTTTATGTGTAAGTAAACCACAGAAAAAAAAACATCGTATGGTATATCGATACTTTGGAGAAACCAGAAAAAGGGAATATATCATAAAAAAAAACGTTAGCTTAGAAATAACCGGGGGGAAAATCCAGTGTTTAAATTGAGAAAAAATGTTTGACCAAATGTGATTTTTCTTTGCTATCCCATATAATCTCGAAAAAGAATAATTTCATCAATACATTTTAGTTGATATAAAAATAAGAAGATGTTGTATGATTGCCAATGAGAAAACTTTCCACTAGAGACCCAATGACATAGAAGTTTACAACTATAGATCAGCGTACGGCCTTCAACAATGAGTAAAACCCATACCGCATAGTGAGATATAAAAGGTCCTGAAATGAAAAATGTACAATAATTCAAACAAAAAAACTAACGGGCTGATTAAGGAACGAAACAATGAACGAAAAAACAAATATGATATACAGCAACAAACGACAATTGCGACCACTGAATTACAGGCTCCTGACTTGGGACGGGCGCATACAGAATTTGGCGGGGATAACTAGTTTGCTGGGACCAAACACTCCCCTCTAACCTGGACAGTGGTGTAATAGTAAAACATAAGAAATATAAAAGAAACAGTTGTAAAGGTCTCCACTCATCAGATCAACACAAAGAAGAAAAACATCCAACAAAAACACAGACCGGACGTGTCAGGGTATTTATACATCCCCACAACAAAAATGGACTCTAAGCACAGATCTAAGAGTACTCACAGTTACTGACAGCTAGTTCAAAGCCAATAAAAACTAATAAAAAATCAAGCATCTAAGAATAAAATATCAATCAGTACACATCAAACATCCAATGGATTTCGTGTAAAGACGTCATTAACAGTCAGAGAAAAACATGACCTTGTGCAATGCCAAGATACATGTATAAACAGATTGTAGAGCCATGAATGTGCATATGTATTTAACAATAATATGTAGTTTGATTTTCATTTACTTATAACAAAATCAATATTCAAAAATCTAAAAACAGTGATGAATTGGTAACCTTAATTGATTGTCATGAAAAGGCGTCTTCACACACACAAGGACGACATCACGAGTTGATTTACAGTAATAGAATACCTATTTCACGGGTGACGACGGATATGCTGAATTGCCGCAACCCCGTCCTCTTTTCCTCTGACGTGACACTTATCACCGAACTTGTACTAATATATTATGCAACATGACAAATTCCTTATGTAAGGCAGGATCTTCCTACCCTCCCATAGCACCTTCGAGCACCCTTGTGTTTTTTTTTTTGGACGAGTTAGAGTTGCTCGGTTTTTTGATTTTTTTTGTGGTGTTTTGTGGACTTGTTTGTTGTTCGTCATTTTCCATTTTTTTGCCACGGCGTTGTCAGCTTTTCTACGACTTATTTTTTTGTAAGAGAATCATATCTGGATTATGTTTATAATATATAATGTCAGAATGTATTACATGTAATTGTCTTAACATAAACGGCAATGTATTTGAATGTACATACCACATGCTTAGCCAAATAGTTTCCAAAACCAAAAGAATGAGACAGCTTTATACATGTTTTCCTATTATCTGATGCAGTGTATAATGTGGTTAAATAAGCGATTAACACATAATATAAACCGTTGAGAAATTGTTGATCATATAACTATTACTAAAATATTTTTCAAAATGTTCCTTGTTTATGTCAATGTCGTGACAGTTCAATATAATCAGCAGTCCGCTGTCATGGTGCATCGATATAAGGAACAGTGTAAAATCTTAAATCTACAGAAAATTATAGTTATACACGGATCGTTTTATGGTTATTGCTGTATTTGGCTAAATCTTTCGGAAATTTTTTGTCCGAAGTGCTCTTCATTATCGTAATTTATTTGAACTTTCTGTATTGCGTACAAACTTATAAACCTGGTATCTTTGATGTTTTTAGGACAGAACTTTTATACAGTTATTTCGTTTTTTCCGGTAATGATTGGAATCAAACATATGATATTTTAAAATAGAATGATATATTTAGAAAATAAATTGATGTACACGAGACACATTCAGAAATATTTAAGGAGTGGTACTTTTTCGCTGTTCATTATCATGTCAGATATCGGAAGTCGTGAATGGTGAGTCGAAGTGTTCACGTCTAACGAAATGTCGACTTAAGGCCGTTTAAAAGTATTTCATTTTCTTGGATCCTAAATGACCGCAAATTATTGGCGTAGTCTAAAGGTAGTAAATTTGAATTCAGATTTTAAATTGATTTGCGGAATTTTCAATTAAAAGAAGAAATTCATATTACTTTTATATTATACATGTTATAGGTTTAGTTTGTTTACAAATGAAACCTCCTCCCGAATAATAATGGAATATTTGTCACAGGACGTAAAGCAAATAACAATCAACCAATTAATCAATCAATCAACAAATTAAAAAAAAAAATATTATAAAGATTTTATAAGGGAATTAACTCTGTAAATTTAACTATCTTTTTATATACATAGAAAACAAATTAATATGGTAACACACTTTTTTCTTTTTAACGTATGCAAGAATTATAAAAGATATATCTTCTCACATTGATGGTCAGCTTTAATAGGAAAAAAAGTTTTATGAATCATGTTCCATTGGTAACCGCTACATTGCTAAGATGCATCGACATTTTGAGTCATGTTAATCGAATGGCGAAATATATGGGAATCATATATTTAAATAAATTAATCGATTTAGGAAATGAGCTGATTCATCTATGCTTACATATTGTCTCAATTGAAGAAAATTGCAAAGTAAACATTTTAATTGTTGCACACATGTAATCAGAAGTGTTGACATTAATTAACTCGAGATCAAATGATCAACATATTAAACATCATCCAAGGTGTTAATTGGGCCATAAATATGTCACTTAAAGAAAACGGTTGCATAAAAAGGCTAGTGTACTTTGAATTGTAGAATTATTTCTTATAAAGTAGAAAAAGAAGTCCAATTTGAATTTTTTTCCCGTATCATCACCGGAAGTCTGGCTTTCATCGATTAAAACTGTTTTGTCATGAAAATTAAAGGTTAAAAGTTGTACAGTTTAGTTTTGTTTTAAAGATTAAATGAGTGAAATCATGTCTGAAGTTGTATATATATTTCATAGTGCGTTTACTTAAATTCGATGTATTCTCTAGATTATATCCCCGTATCAAACCTACAATGGGATCTTTCCGTGTCTTGATTTAGACAGCAATTTTTATATTTCGTTGTACACTTAATTTCGTGGATTATCCACCCATGAAAACCACAAAAATTGGTACACTACAAATTTAGTTTCGAAATGTTAATGTTCCTGAAGAAATCTTATTACATAAGCGATATCATATCCCAATTTTACGGTAAAGTTGATTGTAGCCGGTAAATTAAAATACGATCCATATAAACGTATTTATCCTTTGAATGAAATTATTATGAAAAGTTATCAATTTTATTCTATAATAGATCTTTTAATACTGTATCAGAATTTTCAAAATGACTGTTACTTACGAAACAATGAATATCGAATCGTATGAAAATTAATAGAATAGAACTAGATTGAATACAAGCGAAATGTCACTAGAGCACTGGATTTACCCTGCGGAAAAATATTTGAAGAATAACAAAAATTCATAACAGGACTTATATATTTTATTATCCAACATTCTTGATGAAGAAAATGCTTTATAACTAGAAGTAATTTACTGTCATACAAGTGGGAGTTTAAGCTAGCTATAAAACCGGGTTTAACAATGCATGTACCAAGTCAGGACTATAGCAGTTGTTTTTCACTTGTTCCGTTGATTGATAGCGTTTGATTTTTTCAGTTTTATGGACTTCCCCTTTTTGAATTTGCCTTGGAGTTTTCGGCACTATAGTACTATGTCGTGGCGGTCAGTTTTTGTTGGTGGTGGAAGCCTGAGTGCCAGGAGAGAATCACCCACCTTCGGTAGGAGTAAAGTATAAGAAATGAGCATATTAACAGAAATCTGTTTATAAAATTTGAGTTGATAATGTTCAACGACGTTATGAATGTAATAATAAGGAATGTTTCAAAACATATACAAATACATATTACAACTGTATACATCAACTGTATATATCAACACATATTATATATAGATTGAGCATCATCGTATTTTTGTATTCATAAGTACATACACCGAATGACTACATATATCATGAAATGTAAGTACAAGATTGATTTCACTCGAACAACTATGCTCTGCACATCTTGCAGTGATTATATTTTAGTTGTATGCAACTTTTGTCGATATTCATATTCACTTGAAGTCTTGTCTTTGAATGGAAAACGTTTCCCTGGTACAGATGATACAAGCGCAGTCATGTTTTTATTATTCGCTTTTCCGGTTTTACAACTAGTAAACATTTGTTTAAACTGGTTCTGATATAAATATAAAACACGTCTATTACAATTGTATGCCAAAAAAATGTACAGACCTTGGAAAGAATTCAAAAAAGATACTATTATTGAGAAACTTGAGACGGGAAAGAAGGAATCCAGTATTTGCAAAATCCATGCACTTCCGGTCAATACAAATAGTTTGACATAAACAGTGTAATGAATTTTATGCTGGATAAAAGAGTCTTTGGTGTTGACCTTTGGTGTAGATTTTATGCTAATTACTGTTGAAATGAAAAGGAATAAATCGACCAAACAAATAACCATAATAGGCACAATAAAAGTACAAATGAGAACAAGATGGTCTTGGATAAAACACACGTTCCGGTCATAACCATATAAGTCATTGTCGGACAAATAACTCGATGAAACTGTTAGACATACAATTAATAGAGGACCAGCATAAGAGTAAATAAGATAGAAAACAAAACGTTTTTTTTCTGCATCACAGTCGGAGTGGTTAATCATGAAGGTCTGTCGAAAAGTACGGTACATATGAATTGAACAAACATTTAAGCAACCAAAAGTAGATAACCAGAAAAAATGAATAGAAGCACCTAATGCTAGACACAAAACTTTGCTGCTTGTCCCCCTAATACCAAATTCCAGAAATCCGATAGCAAAAAACATGGAAAAAACAAGGTTCATATTGTTCTTACCTGGTAATGTTCTTAATGTTGGAAACGTACAATATGTTATAAAGGTAAAAAGTAGCGCCACGAGAGATAACACAGTACAAACAGACATTATTGTATTTACTACAGGTGTTGTTTGTTCATTAACTTTGAGAAGATCTAGAAATTCACTATGACATATTCTTGCACTGTTGTTTTTCATTAATAAAAACTCAAAGTACCTTAGAACAACACCAAAACGATTAATAGTCAGTTGTCGTCCGTCTTCTGTGACTTTAATTTCGTCTTTTTCCAACTGAATTTGAGAACATCCAAATAGACTAGATACCTGTTGATGCTCATACCCAACTGTGTTTGTTATGTTGTTAACTTTGTTCAAAACACATTTGTTTTGTAGGGACTGGAAAGTTAATACCGTTGGAAGATATAGTGCATTTTCATCAAATCTTAATTTTCCATCAATTTGGCAAACATTGCTACTTACAGAGCATGGCAAGAAAAAGGTAAAAGTGGAATACATTACTCTGAACAGATTTTCTTCTATTTGGGCTCTATCAACGGTCGTGGAAATAAATATTTTTAGAAACACTGTCATGTGAATATTTCCAACAGTCCATTTATCATACACATTACATGGTCTGTCTGTTGAAATAATTGACACTTCAATGAACGGATCTTGAAGACCAACAAATACTCCAATATGACTCCAAATTTTTTCTTGAATTGACTTCATAAAAGTGTTCGGGTTTTCGACATTGAATGGTAATAGAAAATCTATCCCGAAGGCAAGAATGTAACCCAAATTTGAAGTAAAGGAAATCAATGGAACACATCGGGTGTTGATCAAGATTCTTCCTGGGTAACACAAAATCTCTCGACATCTCCCCTGAAAAAGAATATATGTGTTAACTGGTTTAATCACAAGTATCAGAATATAATGCCTTTTTTTAAACAATATATATATCTGGTATCTTAGATAAGTCTTGAATCTGTTGATAGTTAGTATCGGCTGATAACTAAACTGAATTTATTTTTGAAATTCTTGCAGAACTTAAAATATGCAGTACATATACATATATATTACCCATGCAACCATATTCTAGGGCACCAGTTACACATAATAAGACATATCCATTTGATAATTATTGTTTGTTTTTATATTGATTAAGATAATGACACAAGTTTGACTGCTGTATCCCAATTTTTGACATTTTTACCTATTATGTCTGTTTGTTTTGCTCACACATTGTTGTCATTATAATGGAATTTTATGCAACTGTCATACAAGAGAGAGGTTTAGCTAGCTATAAATAAAGGCAACAGTAGTATACCGCTGTTCAATAGTCCGGGTCACAAACTGAAACTGAGGGAAATACATCAACTATAAGAGGGAAACAAAGGAACAACAGATAAAACCAGATTTAATCCACCATTTTCTACATAAGGAAATGCCTGTACCAAATCAGAAATATGACAGATGATTTCCGTTCGTTTGATGTGTTTGAGCTTTTGGTTTTGTCATTTGTTAAGGGACTTCGGTTTTTTTAATTTTCCTTGGATTTCGGCATTTTTGTTATTGTATTTTATCCTTATAGTAAATTTGTAATTTCGACCAAGTGGTATAAGTAGTCTACTGTATCACTAGCCTGTCAGGTGAGGTGAGTTCGAATCGACAAGGATTGTCAATTTTTCTACCGAAGGTCGGTGGTTCTCTCCGGGCACTCCGGCTGTCTCCACCAATAAAAACAGACCCCCACGAAATAGCACAATCTTGCTGAAAGTGGCGTTTAACACCAATCAATCAATCAATCGACTGTTTACTGACGACATCATGATTTGGTTGATAGTTATGTGCTATAGATTACTATGCTTATGTACCAATTGTAGTCGCAATCCCGTCCTCGGATCCATGTTTATGACATCCTCGAATACGACTTATCCCTGGACGTAAACTTGCTGCAGATAGTGAAATATGGACCCTTCCGGAGCATCTAATTAACTACCTTTTTAGTTTTATGTGCTCTAGTGGTGGGCTGCTGTTGTTTGTTTTAGTGTCTTATTTTTGGTATACTTGGGTCTCCCTCAGTGTTTTCTTTATTTTGTGAATTATTCAAATTTACATCCGGGCATTGTAGCCGGTACAAACTGTTGTTCATCATTGCAGCTAGAAAGATAACATTAATATTACGAATAACATTTCATTAAAAATATTGGGTTTTTATCGTGATGCTGACAATGCAATACAATTTAAGAGATGAACAAGTTACCCTAAGTGCATTTGAGCGCTGACATTTTCTTGCAAAAATAATATTCGCAAAATTACTAAATCAATATGATTATTCATGACACGAAGTCCCTACATGGCATGCATTTGAAAAACCCACGACAATGGATTCGTCCTTTCATTTATGTTCTTCTCCGAAACCCGTCAATGTTTTGCCATAAATTGTTCTCCTCCCCTCCCCCCCCCCAAAAAAAAAAAACAAAATAAAAAAACACACACACAATACTTACATAAAGAATTGCCTACTTACTATCATACTGTCAAAAATCTCATTCTCTTCGCATGTTTGTTTTGAAGAATCATATATTTCATCATCACTATATAACAGCACAGAAAACAAAGTTCTAAAGAGTATAGGTTTTGTATAATTGTCCATTAAGTCGCACTTTTGTTCAATTGAGTAGGTACCATTATACCGTTGCGTTTCTTCATTACACATTTTACAAAAAATATTCTTGTACGGCTTATGATAAGGAACAGCTGGTAAACTAATGCATTTCTGTTTTAATGTTTCGTCATATCTTTCCCAACGACCGGTTGAATTACAACTATCTATGGTTGGAACTTGACTCTCGGTCTCGCACATAGCACAAAAAATATTTGAACCGTGCTGCAAAGATACGTCGTTCAGTTTGTAATAGAAATTGACATCTTTGGTTGGCGAGTTATAATTATTACATGCCCATCCAAGTGATGAATTTCCGTCATTGCAACTTCCCTTTTTATTTTTGTCACACAATTTACCACAGTTAACTGGATCGAATGTAACGTTGCATTTTGACTGATGTTTATAATTTAAAAGTTCAAAAAAGGACACGTGATATGATATAGGAAGAGGTGCTTCACAAATATATATGAAATTCCAAACTCGAAATGTTTCCATTAAATATATAAATTGGTTAGCGTACAATTCATCATAGTTTGTAAAATATCGACACAATCCACAATAAATGTTCCTGTAGTTAACTGAAGAAATTGTGTCTGTTACCGGAAGCAGGGAAAGAAAATTATTCTCATTCGTCATGTCTGTAGATAAACATTTATGTGCTAATGGATTGGAACCTTGTAATATATTTTCACATCCGTCATAAACAAGTAAATCGAAATTTTTAGAGCTGATACATGCTGTTGATTTTTTGAAGACTGCATCAATACAACAGGGGTTGGTTAAATTAAAATGACAATATTCATCACAAGAACAACGCCAATCTTGTTCTATCAAATTTGAAACGTTCGTACAAAAGTCACCATTTCCAGTCATTGCATAATATTGATGATAAAGTTCTGTCCTCAAGTTATTTTGTTTTCTTTTTTGTTGATTATGAGAAAAATTCTTAAGTTCAGCCAAAAACAGATCTGCCAAGTTGGCAAACATTACTCTAGTAAATTCATACTTAAAGTATCGCTCGTTATAAATAGATTCTTTAATTTTTTTGAATGCATCATGTGACAATAAGTAATCTTTTTTATTCGAATTAATGTTACAAGCGTAGCAGAACACATTTTTGAATGGATATGTAGTAGGTGTATGACCAAGATCGTTGCACGCTTTAATGTGTTTATTGTCGAACGTATCCCAGTCTCCAGTAGTATTACATTGTCCTATTACCGGATTCATAGAAACAGGAGGGTTACAAATGTAGCAAAACACATTTCGAAATGTATGGTACAGATTATCGTAATTACGACATGCCCACTCTATGCTTGGATCGTATGATTCCCATGTTCCACTGACATTACAGGATGATATAATGTTTTCGCCATAAACCTTTCTACATCCTCTGATGAATGGTTTACCCAAAAAACTGCCAAACTTACATTTGTTAACCATTGTTGCTTCCAAAATTTCCTCAATATTCGACATAAAGTTAAAATCAACTGGTCTGTCACATACTGCGTTTAACGACCAGTTTTCAATGTTTGAATCATAATTGCATTCTGCACAAAATTTATTTTGATATGTGAAATGTGTATCTTTTGAGGTAACGGGAAGAAGTTTTACTTGCTCAGAGACATTTTTAAACCCCTCACACTGCTGTCGGAGATACACGGTTGTGTTTTCCGGACAAGTCGTTTTCATAATGAAGAAATCCTCAGACTTGGACACAGACTCAAAATCATGCTCCATGTATGATATGCTTGTTGTATTAATACATTGTACGTTCAGAGATAAGTATAAATCTAGACAACAATCGCCGTAAAAAATACAACTCGGATCACAACTGCAATATGGACATATATGACTGAGATGTGACGTAACTGGAAGGTTGTAGTCATAGTGATTACAGAAATGCTGCCCACATGTCAAGGTAAACACTTCTAGAAGAGTGCTAATATTATAATGATGACTGTCAGCTGCAACAACTGTCACAGTGGAACCAATGGCCAAAAACATGTACAGCAAATGCATTCTACAAAGTAAATATAATCTGCTAATAACATGAATAAACGCGAATGGGAAACTACTAGTATATCTTTTTCAATGATATTCACACAAGGCCAACAATCACCACTGTAAACTAAGGAGAACTCAATATTTATTTTTAAAATTCAGTTTAGCCGACAATTCTTAATATGTCTTGTAATAAGATCAGATATTGCCTCATTCTCATTGACACTAAGCCATATTTAGTTATCGAACTATGTACCAAGTCCTTCTTACAAAACGAATCCCACCCTCGTTTTCTTATCTCAGATGTGACCGTAGGTACCTCATTAGATGTTATTTACTGTATGGCATAAATGTAATGTTCTCACTGGTTTAAATTTATAAAAAAAGTATAAGAATACAACCTGAGATAGTATTAAACGTTTGCCATCATGATGTTTTTCTTGCAATTAGAAAGAATATTGACATATTGCATTCCGTTATGAAGTGTATTGCATGCATGATGCATTATACACCAAGAACAAAAGATCGAAAGAAAAAATAAACCAAATAATTGAATAGAAAAAACAGTTTAAATATTTATATAAGCTTTCGCATCAGACATGTGTTAATTGATGAGTTGTAAAAGAGGCATCATAGAACCTAAATCTCTCACCTTGAAAAAATATATGGTTATATGATTTGCATTTTGTACCTTTGTCGTAAGCATAAATGTTTTCTTATAAATACGTTAATTATTTTTACAGCTTTTGATCCGAGGAGAGTTTTAACGTTAAATCAAGGTTAATGACCATGTTGTCCTTCAGTTCCACGATCGCATTAGTTATATACGAAAAATCACAATAATATACAATTTGGTTTCGGACAAAATCTTCCGAGAACCTGCCCATCCCACCCCTTTCTGAAATCAAATGGCCCTCCACCTACCAGTCATCAAAATAGTAAGGACAAAAGATAATATTTGTACATCTGAATTACCTTTCTCCTCCCTATCCATTATATATTTCATAATATATTACAATAATATTAAAAGTTCGTAAAATTATAGGGCAATAACTAAGAAAACAGCCATTGGTTTCTGGCTATATGGTATACTTTCCAATATAACTTAACCGTAAAAATCCTTGTTATACTTTATGCCTTGCAGATCTATTAATCTGTTTATTATCTTTTTATCAACTACAGATTTCAAGGTCTTATACAAATCATCTGAAAATTGATAAAACATTCCAATTTAAGGACAATAACTTCATGAATTAATATTTTTTAGAATCATATAATCTTGACTATTTTGGTAGTTTTCAGCTTGTTTTTTTTTTAAGATAACTGCCATTCACCATAAAATTGGTCAAAATTTGAAAATTTAGGATATCAATTCCTATCGGGAGTCAGTTGCCGCTTAGTCGTCTTATCTGTAATTTTACCGAGTGTGTCTCATTCCTGATTATGACATTAGGACTGAGTGTGAATTATCATGGCGGGTGATGAATGCATAGCAGGAGACGCTTAGTACCCTGTCGACGCACCCAAGCTCGCTCCCCTTGGAGTGTATGCGATTCATTCAGTTTTGTTTGTTACCTTGATTTTTATCCTTCCAATCGATATACGAGACTTGAAGAACAATAAACTACTGTCACCTTAATTTTGTTTTTTTTTTTAGAATTTGTTTTTCTATTAAAGAGGCATTAGCTGTCATTTAGACAAAAAGAAAACAAAATACGATTTTATTTTTTGTTTCAAACATTTATCAAAGCGGAAAATTTGAACTAAATTTCGCTATTAATAGAATTTAAGTCCTGTACGTAAATTCAGTTATCACGGTGCGCTGTACCATATATGTTTTGTTTGGTTATTAGCGAGTTTAAGTAAACCGAATCTCATTGGTGGTTACTGAACCTTAAAATCTGACGTCACGAGCCCTTTTCAATTTGGATCCAAGGATGAAGGCAGAAGACAATTCAGCTAAAATATAAAACCAAAAGAACTTGAAAATTTTTAATATTGTCAGGGAGTACTATTTAGAATTTTTTAAACCTTTGAAGTTATATTTGGTGGTTTTCAAGGGAGGGTGTTTCGTCATAAAGGGACGTCAATTATGAATTACTTTTTAACGTATGCTGACTGAAATACAGAAGAACATGGCGACCACATGGACAAAAAATCATTTCTCGAAGTTTTTTACCAAGTTAATTTATTTGAATATTGCCAGTATTGAGTTTTATTTATAGATTGGACATCCTTTCGATGAACTATAGTTCCAAACTTCTTATTCATCAAATATTTCGACCACCCCCCCCCCCCTCCCCCGAATTATTTTTTCACGAATTGTGTCTGTGTGAATTTTGTCGACGTATTAACCGGTTAATCAATTGGAAGTTTATCCAGGTAACCGCTTACCGCTTAGACAGAAATATTCATTTTTAAACCTGATAAATACATTTGATTACGGTCTACTACTACATTGTTGAAATGCAGAGTAGTATCCATCACGCAAGTACCAAATCAACCATTCAATAAAGTGATGTACATGTGTAGATTAGAATTATGATTTTTTTTGTAGACTACTCTAATAGATAAGATGTGACGCATTGTGGGGCTATTCTCGAATGCTTCTGCATCATCGATATTTAATAGTTTGTTGGTAAGCTGTTCCCAGCCTTTAGATATAAGAAGATGTGTTATGATTGCCAATGAGACAACTCTCCATCCAAGTCAAAATTTATAAAAGTAAACCATTATAGGTCACAGTACGGTCTTCAACACGGAGCCTTGGCTCACACCGAACAGTAAGCTATAAAGGGCTCCAAAAATTACTAGTGTAAAACCATTCAAACGGGAAAACCAACGGTCTAATCTATATAAAAAACGAGAAACGAGAAACACTTATGAACCACATCAACAAACGACAACTACTGAACATCAAATTCCTGACTTAGGACAGGTGCAAACAAATGCAGCGGGTTTAAACATTTTAATGGTACCAAGCCTTCACCCTTTTTTTTGAAACAATAGTGTAACATCACAACATAGAAAGACACACTATAAAATATCAACTGAAATAGCTTAACTCAATCAAAGGTAATATTAACACCAGTGAACATACACTGAACAAATAAATTTGACCTATGATACAATGTAAATACAAAACTTTGACGATATGAGGAAACAATCTATATTTGTGTGTGTTGGTTGATTCTAGATTTCTGAATTGATACATTGGTTGCCCTGTTCTGATGTTCTACATTATCTGGCATATTTATGGCTATTTAATGAGATTATAGTATTTATAGTGCTTTATGAAACAGGCAGAGATTTTTTATTTTTACGTCTGGTTTCTAATGACTATTTTTATTTCCTAAAGTATGGTAGTGATTGATACAGGTTCTGTACTGTATTAATGCTCAACGACTTTGCACTATTTCTATCTTTATTATGAGATTTTCCTGGTATGGTTTTATGGATCCGAAACACTTCTGGCATTTACTACATTTGGTCTTCCAATAACTTCAAACTTGGTATGCTTTATTTTCCTTTTTTCCGGGAATTTATTAATATTTCTTCCCAGGAGGCCTAATGATTTATTTGCTTTAGCTACGATGTTATTGGTGTATATATCTCGTGTCGGGTTGATGGTGAACGGAAATCACATGAAAGGGGGTTTGGTCTATCGATATTTTCATATTGTAAGGTTAGATAATTAAAACAATTGATCTTGAATAATCTGAATTATGTTGTTTCCTTAAATTCTTTGACAAATTATGCCAGGAATCATTTAAATATTTAAATAGACCAGAAATAATAAAGGTCCAAGTGAAGAAACTTGTGGGACTCCAAAGTTACAGATATATAACCAGATTCAATTGTTCCTATTAACTTATTGCATTATCCGAATAAGTAAGAACGAAAGAAGTAAATAGCAGCAAGATTTCCATAATCCAGTACCTTGTACGACTGCATCATTTGTGATAGTTTTTAGTGGAAATTTAACATCATTGTTCATTTTAGATTTTACTTAATTTTAAATTTCTCCAACTTGTGTGATGATTTTGGATTAGGTTCTCACCTTCTGTGCTAAATAATGAGTTTAGCAGTTTACAATATCACATTAGGTTGCAAGACTCCATACGTTAACGAATTTTACAGTTTTTATCATTTATGGCATCCATAAAATATTTTGCTTTTGTTAACAAATTAATGCTTCCTATGTTTTGTTAAAGTATTCATTAGTAGTCATTCAAATATGTGTGTTATTGACTAAGGATAAAATACAGAGTTTGTATGTGTATGCATTCAATGCATTGCACATAGCATTGTTTTGAATAAACAACCGGTCACAGCTTAAATAATAATTAAATTAACTTATATTTATTTAAGTTTAATACAATATATGTTTAGTTTTGCTGTTCGTGTTGTATCTATTGCAATGAACTAAAATTGAGAAT